TGTTATAAAACGTATTGGTGTGTATGATTTAATGAGTAAATACTACAAGCATATAAGTCAAAGTTTATGTGTTCCCTTTATCCTAAGAGGATTAAAAGCGATATCTTGGGCCCATCGATGATTTTATGTTGACTTATGTGTCGGGCCCGGTCGGGACTTAATTGATGTGTTCAATTAAGTTCTATGTCAAACTAATCAGAAATCGGGAAAAAAACAGTGGACAATGAGTATGACTCCATTCCATGTCTTTGTCCACATGATATCTTGAAGAACAGAGGACTGTATGATCCCTTATCTAAAGGACGTGTCATTGACTACGTTAGAGTTCGACAGCGGCTTTTGAGAGCTACGATTGCTAATCGGATTTTGAAGTCGTACTTGCAGTTATAGTTATTAGACTTATCTAAGTGGGAGACTGTTGGATTAGGTGTCTAAGCCAATTACTATAATTGGTATGTACTTGACCCAATAGTGACCTGGTCCTTTTGGGTTGCCTTCACCAGAACAACTTAATCGGATGAATTATGAAAAAACCGGTTAATTGTGATTTATTAATATATTATAAGAACAATATATTAATTGAGAAATCATATTACTTAATTAATATTGGTCAATAATTAATTTAGTTATCAAAAGAGATTAATTAAACTAAAGTAGCTGATATTGTAATTATAAGATAATTGCATGATGGGTTGTGGACTCCTAAAAGAAGGAGGTGGACAAATTCAATGGAAGCCCATAAAAGAATTCGTTCATAAGGGCCTTGTGGAAGGAACCACCAGACTACTAAAGGCTTAAGCAATCAAATTAGGGTTTTGACTAAAACCCTAACAACTCAGCTATATAGAGACCCTATGGGACTCCTAATTTCGGCCACTAAACCCTAAGAAGGATAGCCAGCCGATTTTGTGATCCCTGCCCTCTCTCTCATATTCTTCCAACTTGCTCTTGGTGTTTGTGATCTATTAGAGGTATCGTATTTGAGGTACTAAGCTTGTGAAAGGAAAAGATCAAGCAAGCTACAATTGAAAGGTAATATGCTAACTTTGTATTAGATATAAATTTCAAAATATAGCATGCTAGATTAGGGTTCATGCTTTGGATAATTTTTATTGCATGTATAACTTGAGAAAAACCTAGATCCAAATCATTAGGGTTGTATGTGCACCATAGGATTGATGTAATGCTCAAAACCCATCATTTAAGGTTTAGGTCATCAATCAAGCAACATAAAAACCAAGTCGAAGAATTTATATTCTCATATTCTACCACAGTGTATGCATGGGGTATGTACAAATACTTCCATCAAGCCCCTAAACAAGTTTACCTAGTAAGAAAGTTAGAAACATTTTAATTTTAATAACAAAATGGTATAAACAAATTTAAGAAATAAAAGACAAAACTACCACCATAGTGAGGATCGTTCTTTGATAAGGCCCCTTCATAGTCTTTTACAAGCTACAAAACTTTTCTTCCATAGTCTAAGGCCAACATAGATCCTTTTGAATGTTATAGTTTCAAAAGGCAACGTTTGGTTCAATTTCCAATTAGATCTTCACTATTTTCTCAGGGTTACGAATTTGAAGATCGAAAGCATAGTCTCTAAGTAGTGTATATTGTCCTTCTTAATCTCCCCTGATCTGCTTCATGGCCTAAAAACTTTTAGCTTTTAAAGGTGTAGTTGGTATTCACATTGGAGTAGTGCATGAAAATTGCTTGTAGGTATATTGAGGTTACTTTCAAGTTATTACACTATTTGCTTTCTTAAGAACTTATATGTGACAACCCGAAATTTCAATCTTGTACAACCATTCAATTCAATCAAAGTCAAACTCATTTATGCTATCTTTTAGCACTGTTAAAGGTCTGTTTGGTGTTTTAAGCCTAGAACTTTCAAGAAGGAATGTTAGGAAGTGTATTCTAGAGTGCAGTGTGTAGCATACAAGTCAGAACCTCCATGCATAAGGAGTTTACGGCCGCAAAACTAGATTTTACGATTGTAAACACCTCCTTGGCCGTAAAATCATGTCCATATATGAGTTTTATCTTCATTTCTAGTCATTTCTTACACTTCCAAGCCTAGATTTAGGATTCTCTCTCAACTATCATCAAGATTTTCACCTTGATCTTCAAAGAGTTTACGGTCGTAAACACATCCTTGGTCGTAAACTCATGTCCATATATGAGTTTTATCTTTATTTCTAGTCATTTCTTACACTTCCAAGCCTAGATTTCGGATTCTCTCTCAACTATCATCAAGATTTTCACCTTGATCTTCAAAAGAGTAAGCATTTCTTCCATGTTATTAGATGTTATTCTTCTAAATCTAGTATCACCCTTTGATTTCATTCATGAAATTCATCTTTTTGGGTTAGATCTTCAAGAAAACCAAGAACACATACTATTTTTTGGACCTTAAACACCTCCTTCAAGCTTCAAAACGTAAGTAATCTTCCATATACTAGTTATCCTATTGAAGCTCTTGACATACATCCTTGAAAACAACCACTTCCAAAGAACAATAAGATTTTACGGCCATGAGCATCTCCCTTGGTCGTAAACCCACCTCAAGATCTTCATTGGCCGTGAACATCTTTGACCGTAAACTCCCTTGGCCGCAAACTTCTTTGGTCATGAACACCTTGGTCGTAAACACAATGGTCGTAAACCCCTTAGATGCAATCCATTGTGATTGTAACACTTCCATTCAAGTGTTTCCTAGTTCCTAAGGTGGTTCTCTATCATTATTAGTTGCCTAAACACTAATTATATTCATATATGTGCCATTATATGCTTATTAGGATCCGCTTGTGCCCGAGATTTCACTTAGCACTTAGCAGCCTACAATCGATCTTACATTCGTATCACTCACTGCAGGTGAGTTCATACCCCTTAATCTATCTTTTAAATGATTTTAAATGCTTTTATGGGGGGGGGGGGGGGGGCGATACAAGTTGATAACATTATAGTTGTTATATCAATCACATGTGATTAATAACTATCAAACACAATGGATTTTCTTATACTTCAAACTGTTTTATAAAACGAACTCTTCAAAACATTTTATAAACTAACATCAAGTCATATGTTGCCATTCAAATGGATAAAACTCTTTTATATGTTAAACTCTTTATTAAACTCTTTTAAACTTATATATTGTCAAAATCATGTCTATAGAGATATAGTTATATAAATAAGGTCGAAAGGGCTTAAGACTTATAACTCACTTTATTTCCTATTCCTTATTTGGTTGTGGACTTAGGGTATCCGGTTGTTTGTCCGAATGTCGTTTGAATCTTAGTTATACATTATGTACATGTGTATAGATATAAAAGTTCTTACATCAGTTCAGCACCTTTGGGTAGCAAAGGTGTACAAACATACATAGACATTCAAACAACATTACTAGTAAACTATAATAGGTATAGTTTAGAGGTTTACTACTCACTACTTCTAGTACAATGAAACATATAAGAGTCTGTTCATTCATGAGTCAATAAAAACTTAGTATTATGATAAACGGAAAGAACATACTATGATGAGAAACTAAGAGAACATATACTACACTAAACAAGAGAGCATACTATATACTAGAACAGAGAGAACATACAATACACTAGAGCATACTATACAAACACTAGAACACTATAACATTAATGTGAGCCACTACTTCATGGCATGGTAATCTACTGTTGTTCCACATTTTGTAACCAGAGTCTCCTGGAAGGAGAGCGTGAATTTATGTATAGATCTATATGGGACTGACCGTCCTACACCTTGCTGCTAGCTACAGTGGGACCTGTAGGTCTATGAGTGACGAATGTCATACCATTTCGACATCTTTAATTGTCATGTTTTACTAGTCAATCAAGTATGGTTACAACCTCATCACATTTTAACTTATTTAACAAAGTGGTTTAAGGTAGTTAGTACATTGGTAGTTACTTATATACAATACTACCGTACATCGTTATTTTCCCATTACATTCACATTGTGATCTTCTCACATAAACGGTAATGTAAGCTATATTTTGGTAATGATAGTCATACTTGGGAAAGATACACACTTTTACAAACAAACAACATACAGAACACTCAGGCCTTGGTAGAAGGTTATTTTTAGTAGAAAATATAGGATTTCCTAGGAGTTACAAACATTACTACAAACACTTACAAACATTTACATCAAATATTTACAAACACTTTCATACAAACAATGACATTAAAATACTTATGAACTCACCAGCTTTAATGTTGATCTACTCTTTCAACATAACTTGTATTCTCAGATCACAAGTAGACAGGTACTAATGACCAGGTTTTGAGAAGACGGGGCTTTTAAGACTCATCTTTATTTTGATTATTCATTTTTGGTGTCTTATAAACTATACATAGAACACAATTGTATTAAATTATATTTATTAATGCAATGGATGATGTTGTTGCTTGTTTACTATTATGCATTGTTGTGATACTATACATGACGTCCTCCGCCCCATAACATTTCTGTCGTTCCGGTTTTGGGGTGTGATAGATACGTACAAACATTTACAATCCTAGTTTGTAGGAATCTATGCTCTTTCACATAGGTTCTGACCTCCCAAGCCTTATCTTGTTTCCAGTTGCTTGCATAAAGTTTCCAAGGACACTTGTCTTCAACATGGCCAAATACACCAAGATTTGGAATGATGCCTTTGCAAATAGCGCTTATCCTTTTTTTCATTTTTATTAAATCTCCCTTCTTGTTTCAATTGCATGCTTTTTAGCATATCTTTTAGTTCTTTTGTTGTAACAAATTGTTGATACACATAAATAAGATCATCAAAATGAGCCTCGTTTCTTTCCTGTACCACTCTCATTGCCTTTTTTTATGCTTTTACTCCCACCTTAATCAGAAGAAGAAACAGAGGACATTGCATCTTGGTTTAGTATCTCAATGTCATCAATATCCCTATTACACTGCTCCACACCAAGTGACCCTGACTGGTTACCTATCCACTCTACATCCTTGTCAATGTGTAGAAAAAATCTTTCATATCAACCTCAGGTTCATCTATAATTTTATACTCATCATTATGCAAATCACTAGCATCACTATCAGATAAGTCCTTAGAATCCTCTCCACTATCTTTAGTTTGATTTCCGTTATCCACATCGACATCATGTCCCTTCAGATCAAACTCATCCGCATCAAGTCCATTAAGATCAAACTCAAAATTTGGTGCTTGAAATTGATCTTCAAGGTGTGTTTGACCTCCATCAATGAAATCTTCTAATTGCAAGTAATTACTAGATGTAAAAGGGGGTGTTTGAACTCTATCAATTATAGTAGGTGGTGTTTGAACATCATCATCATCCACTGTTTGATTAATAACTCCTTGGCTACTCTCTCCTTTATTAATATCCCTTTAGCTAATCTCCCCTTGATTAATATCCCATGTTTCAACTTGATCCCCTATTTTTGAGTTCTGCCATTCCAACATTAGCCTTCTAGAATGGGGTTCAATAACTTTTTCTATCTTAACTATACTTGGGTTGGGGGACAAAAAGTATGTGTGCAACATAGTTTTATTGTGCTTGTTATAAACATCTATCAATTTGTGATTAGGCACGAATGTACTCAAGTGATTAATGTCACTATCACTACCTAAAGCATACAAACCAACATCCAAATCTAAAAACGGTTTTTTTGAAGTGATAATATAACAACTTACCCTCCTTAACTTGATGAAGCTCCTCCACTATTTCAACAATTTCGTGAGCACAAAATGTATCACTATCTAAAAGATCGATATATTTAACTTTTCCCTTCACATATTTTCTGTTAGGTAACTTTGTGAACTCTCCACTATAGTGCAACCTCGTTGAGAACATAGTCAGGTAACCACCTGTGGATAGAAAAAAAAATGAGCTTTACTCTCTTACATTTATGTTCTAAAATGAATGTAATCAACCAAAAATTATATGCTTACCGTATGCTTCATCGAGGTTGATTTCATCGATATTTGCTCTAATCTTCCATCTAACCATCATCTTTTTGTTAGAGGTTTAAGGTTTTCCAGAGAGATTTTCCAAAAGAGGGCGATCAATATTGTAGAGGGTTGTGACGTGAGGAAGAAGACAATCAGAATGGGAATAGACAACACTCTAGTTCATATTAGATGTCATGTTTAAAAACACAAAAATACCCCTAATGTGATAGGTGCATGGGGCAATTAATGGAGATAACTAACGACAAATAGACATAGGGACCAAAAAGCAAATGTTAAGGCTGCCGAACATGCAAAATAAAACATAGGGATCAAATGCGGAATTTTTGCAAACCATAAGGACCATTTTAATAATTTGTTCAATTTAAAAAGTGAATTAGCATAATCAACTCAAATTTGATGAATTTTTTTTTAATTCTACATTTGTCGGTCTTAAATAAAATAAAATGTTACTAAAATCATTAGTGGAGTTATATAAATCAATATTCGCCAACACTTAAATAAATAAAATTAAAAAAGACCACTCAATTTATTAAAATTTTTTTTGGAAGGTAATCAAAATTAGAGAAAAAAAAAACAATCAAAAAGTGATAGAAAGTCCAAAAGCATGTGTGACATCAACACGGTGTTATTCTCTTTATTTTATTTTTAAGGCCCAACACGGTAGAAAACGATAAAATTCATTGCAAAATAAATGAATCAATCAAAAGTGAAAGACAGATAAGTCAAGTTTATTTATTTATTATTATTATTTTTTAAAGATTTCGAAAGAAAAAATTTATGGTTTCGAGAAATAGCCAGAAATGTTATAGATAGTGAGTAAGAAATCCCTAAAATGCACTGTAAAACCATAAAATATAATGACAAATCGTTAACACTAAAATGAGCTGTAAAACAATAGAATATAGTGAAAAATCGTTAACGGAACTCCGACATAAAGTAATCCGTTGTACACGTCATTAACCATAATAGTGGTGGGTGCTACATCAGCACTACATTCCCTACCACTAATCATGAGATACCTACCACTAAAGATACCATTCCATCTCATTTTTTTAATTAAAAATAAATCAAAAATACATAAAAAATCACATATATATATATATATATATATATATATATATATATATATATATATATATATATATATATATATATATATATATTAATTTCATTAATTTAAAATATCAAATTTCATTAATTAAAATAAAATAAAAATAACATTAGGAATTAAAAAGTTAAAAATACCAAGCTTCTAATTTATGTGTTTAAGGAAGGTTATACCATTTTGGGGAATTCTTCAATTTTTACCAAGCTTTGACATGTTTAAAACGTTGATGATTTTTGTTTTCATATTGCTCAATGGCCACATTAACCGCATCGATATCGGCTTCGTGTATGTTCTTTATAACAAAGTTGGAAATTCCATTGAACTCAGAACATTTGGCCTTCATATTGCGCCACTTCAAGCATATTTCATCAACATTTCGAATTGCACAACCCATTAAAACATGAAAAACGCTTTCAACATTTCTCCAAAAAAGAACTGAAAGTTTGACCAGCGTCTTCTTCTGAAACCGCCACCCATGCTTGTGCTATTTTCTCTTCTTCATCTTCTGACCATTTCTTATTTTTGGGAGACATGGTTTTTAAAGGATCAAACAACAAAAATATATGATGACTAAAGGGAGAAGAAATGTATCAAAAATAAGAAGATGAGTGGTAGTATTTATAGGTAAATATTGAAGGAATTAAAAATAACCCTTAGGAAGGAGGAAGAGAAGGTCAAACGAGATTTAATGCAAGAAATGAATTCATTGGTCGTTTGGAATCGTTGTTCGGTGCACGAAGGGCCACGACCACGACCCACCACGGACCATAGGGGTAGTGTGCACGGTCATGGTTCGTGGCCACCATACCAGATGGTCTAAGGTAAAAAAGGTGTAAAATGAATCGTAGTCTGTAAGTGGGTCCCCTATATATAAAGATTTACATTTCTTATTTTTTCAATTTTTATACTATATTTTGGATGAAAACTTTTAAAAAAAGCAAAAGGCACTGAAAAAGTTGTATATTTATACATTTAAAACTACTATTAAAATGGTCTTTCAAAATTCTTACTACAAAAAAGTAAAGAATTTTTTTTTTCCAACAAACATCAATAATTCTTTTATTATGAATGAAGAACCAGTTAGTTTTCAAGCTACTTACAACTGAAACCTCACTATAAAAACTCTCACACTCTACACCAGATACTCACTACAATACATTCTCTATACTACACATTTCTAAGCTATCAATAAAGAAATGACCAGATGAAGGTACAAGAATAACAAACTCAAATACCCAAACTCGATGAAGATGAATACGAGAGAACAAGTGAATAATGGGAAGTGTGTATGTGATTATTTCTTAGTTATGAGAAGTAACACACACTTAAACATTCAATACTTCAGATCATCCCACATGGGTCAAACCTACACGGATTCAAGTTATATTCATCCCTCACCAAATCCGCGTGTCCACCTGCATAATAAGTATAGAGAAAACGAACCACAATCCACAAGAATAAGAAATATACATTTCAAACCCCTCCACCACAAACTTCACACAAAACTTTTGGGTGCAGCTAACCTTCACCAATAATGAAATGTGTACTAACAATTTAGTTTGAAATATATGACATTCTCAACACCCCTCTCAAACAAATTATTAGAAAAGAAACATTGATTTTTATGAAAAGCATCCATTAAACCCATTTATCACATAAATACTTATGTTGATTAAAGCATAAAGACGTTGTCAAAATATCTACAATATTTTGATCAAACTCAATTTTTATTACTTAAATAACACCTTTTGTAACTTTTTCTCTAATAAAATGTGAATCAACATCAAAGTGTTTAGTTTTTTCATGAAAAACGGGATTAAGAACCAATTTTATAGCATACTCATTATCACAAAAAACTAGAACATCTATTAAGTCCATAATATGCAAATTATATAAGACTTTTAAAATCCACACAATTTCACAAATATTAAACCTAAAGCACGATACTCATATTCTATAGAAGAGCAAGAAACAGTTTCTTGTTCCTTTCTTCTCCAATAAATAAGAGAATTAGCAAGAAAAACTAAATAACCTATAATAGATCTTCTAGAAATAAGACATTTTGCCTAATCAACATCAACATATGCTTTTAAAGAAAAACATTCAGACTGAGATATATTGATTCCTTTACTAGGATTAGATTTTAGAAACCTAAATAACATATATATTAATATGAGACTTTCTACGAATAGCATAAATTCACTCAATATTTAAATTGTGTAAGATATATATGGCTTTGTGTAGCACCCACATTTAGGTATGCACTTTTTCTCAGTTCTCAATCAACTTTATAAGGTTTTAGCCATAGTCACAACGTGAGCACTTATGTGTCATGTCATGACCATGCCCGATGAACATGAATCCCATTTGGGTTCTCATCACGTGACCACATGTTGGTCACGATGTGATAGCCTTACGAGCCAAAGTCCCAATTTTGGGGGTTGTCCCCTTATTTAAGGGAAGTGAGGACTAGGGTTTGATCACCCTCAGGCTCCATCACCTCCCTTTAACCTATAAAACCCAAATATCCCATAAGTTGAATATTGAGCTCCGTTTTAGTGATTTCTAGCCAAGAAGAAGATGATGAAGAGTTTTGGTGCATCATCTTAGCTTGCAAGCCTCACCTTCATGTTTTTTCATACTCTGGACCATTGTGAGTATTCAGAATTCCATGCTTTATTATCCTAAGTGCTTAGATCCAGATTTTTCATGTGTTTTCTCCATGTTTTTGTCGAGTTGGAGTGTTGGGGTTCCATGAAGGTTGATAGAGTTTTGAACTCTTGCATGATATCTTGACCCTATTTGACACAATTTTTTTCCTAGCTTGAGTTCAAGAAATGCATTGGACATGCATGTCTATAAAGCACCGACTTTTATGATCTTTTAGGAGTATGAAAGCCTTATGGAAAGTGTAGAAGGGTAGGAAAAAGGATTAAGAACTTAATGCATTAAGGTGTCCAAAGCTTTTCTCATGACATGACACTTTGGTCGTCACGTCGTGAAGAAGGCTGATCTGCGACTATTTCGTCTCTATTATGCCACGATATGACCAAAGGGACTGAATGACTTCTGAGTGTTAACTTTGACTGTATCGTTGACTTTTTTACCAATTTTGACAATATGTCAAACTTAGGGTTTCGGGATGTAGTATGAGGAGTTGTCATTGGTTGTTGTACATGTGACATGTAGAATTAGTTATTGGATCAACGGTCATTAGTGTTATTTTCTAGATTTCAAGGTGAGTTTACTCATTATACTATATATTATAGTATGTTTCCTTGTGTGTAGGATATTGATATAAGATAGTGACATGTTAGATTAGTAGATCTGTATGATTAACTATATTGTTGATTATTTTTATCTGTTTGCATATCTCGACAAAGTGCGGTTGAGTTGAGGTAGTACGTCTTTATGCTACGCTAACAAACCCGGGGCATTCCATTCGTGTGTTGTAGGCTAGGGGAAACTAGTCCGATGATTGTGGGCCCGGGGGCAACCCATTCTGATGAATATGGGCCCATGGGGCAATCCAGTGCTATATTATGGTCCCAATATGCATACATTGTGTATATATATAATCGAATGGGGTATTTTGGGGGAACTCAGTAAGGTTAGTCTTACATTTGTTTAATTAAATGTCTCAGGTACTTCTGATGACCAAGGCAAGGCGAAGGAATGATTTTACACATCCTCTTATTGTTTTATGTTTAGAAAGATTGACTTGATACTAATTTTCTTGGATATGATTCGAAAACAATGGTTGTTTATATATGGATTCTTATGGAAATGTTTTATAAAAATGAAAAAAAAATTATCAGGATTTGTGGGACGTTACAAGTTAGTATTAGAGTCATGGTTTGAGAAAATTAGATGAACACTTGTGTAACTCCGGACTCAAACTATGGAAAGTTATTCCTCAAGATACCCAGAAT